GGGGGGGGGGATTTTTTTCTATGCATTTATAAATTAAAAATTCTACGTATATTAATTTGAAATAATTAGTAGTACGAGGAAACATGTTTTTCTTTTAGCAGTCAACTTTTCAGATATAACATTTTATCGAAAAACAAAATTATGCTAATTACGTCGACGTAGCAATTATTATCTCAGCTCTTTTATCAAAGAAACTCCTACATTATCGACGAAAAAGAATATTTAACGCGTCAAAAATATTTATGTAACGATACAACGAGTTATCGAAGAAGAAATCCAAATGCTAACTCATGTAAGTTTGCGCTGCAACTCGATTTCGAGGTTTTGGTTGTTCCGACTTTACGTGACTGATATCGTATTTCACCATCAATTCACAATACAAAGTTGATATCACACACTCTCACGAACAACCCAGATTACTCAGCAAGAGTCAGAGTCACACGCGAAATCTACAATTTCTCTATTCCCGTTCCTCCGTTTATAGCGTTCTGTTTTCAGTCTTTCAATGTACTTTAATGCTTCATCTTAAACTACCTCCGACCACATTATTACGAATCTAAAATTGCCCGATATATTGGATTACAGTTTGCATCTGTCGTACGTTCGCCCGCGAAACAAAAATGAAATATACAGGATTACGCAAGAGATTGAAAGATTTTGACGATTAATTAAATTTTCTCAAAGAATGCCGATAAATAACGCAAATGTTGAAATCAAGATTTTCCGTGTAAAATGTAGCTCTTACAGCGGCATTCCTCCGATTTAAATTGGTTCCTACATATAGGAATTATATTACTCTGAAATTATAAAGATCGCGCACATGCACAGCCGGAAGATACAACTCCTAACAGCAGCAGCGGGTCCAGACAATGTAATATTCTGGAATCAAATAAAAATTAATGAAGAAAATCTTCGCTCCCAGGGAAAAAATCCAGTCTCTAAGAGAATCTAATTGCAGCAATTTTTGTAATGGCGTTCTGGTAAAGGGTGGTACGAAGTTCCGCAGCTTTCTCATTAAGTTCCAACAACACGTGTACGTAGTATATACAAACCATTTTTAACTACGTACTTGTCTAGATACGAATCCTCTGTTCATACTTCTCGACTTGTATCATTCGATTTTCCAAGTTCTTAATTAAATTCGCTATTTAAAAATGCATACGTTTTATAAAAGTTTCTTTGCACGTCTAGATACGAACAGGTTGAAAATTTTCATTCATTTGGAAACCTTGACGCTTTGACATCAAGATATTTTTCTCTCCACCACCGGGAAGAAGGAAAGGAAGGGAGAAATATAAAATGATAACTGTAATTTCTTATTTAACGAGTTCTTATGATACGATATTTCAATGCAAAGTCAGAATTAAGTGAAATCTTTGCGAGACACGTTATTAAAGAGAAAGACTTCATTTTCTATGGGGATCTGTCTGTAATAATTCTTTTAAGGCCTTTCGATAAATCAGAGCTAAAACGTGTTACCAAGCGTGTGCCAAGTACTAAGTTGAAGCCATACGTGTGTATACTTAACGTCCATCGTTTCTTAAGCTACATACTTTCCTGGGTTTATCGCGTCTAATTTTTAACGCTTCGACGAACATTCTATTTTCTGTTTCGAACTATGCTGTACATACGTAATACCGATACCGTCTCTTTTGAAAACATCTGTCATGTACTAATTTTATGATAGAATTAATTTATTCATTAGTAGCAATAACGATAAAAGTTCCCCTTAATCCCCTAACCGGGTATGACGAAATATTTCGTCATGTGAATATAGTTATTCCTACATACGCAAGAAAATATTCCCCAGTAAAAGGTTAACAATTTAGATCAAAAGACAGATACGAATCGATTGAGAACAGGTATACTTTCCTGATTGTAAAAATCTGTATGCAAAATGGCCAATATGCCTTTCAGTAGTCTATGACTTACATACTATAATAAAAAACAGTCATTCTCAGTCAGTCTCGTTCTTCTTGTATCGACTTGGAGCTGAAACCGTTGAGATGCTGGACTACAGCATCCCGCTTGAATTTATTCACATTACGCAAAGTAACGTTTCTTCGTATTTGCCAAGGAAATCGTAATAATTCTGACAGACGCTGGTCAGCCATATGTTACGTACTCTAACGTACTTACACTAACGAGCCTGTAACTACTTGTTGCAGTGACGCGCTGACGCGCACTACTGGCATGAGCGCCGAGCTTCGTCTGCAGTGTTTGCGGAATTTGACCGATCTGTTGTCTCGCACGTTTAAGGAACAGTTTGTGTTTCCGGCGCTCGGACACGACGACATCGGGGTGAACTTCTCACAACTCGCCGAGATCTGGCAGCATTGGTTGCCGCAGGAAGCTCTGGATACCTTTAAAACTGGTACGAACAAGTGTTTTCCTTTTTCCCTGCCTTGACTCTTCTCTTTGGCTTCTATCGTTATACTGGAAGATATTTCTCTATGTGAAAGCGTTTTGCAATGGCGAACGGCTCGGAAATCGGATTAAAGCAAGCGGACGTACTCTTGAGTCCGAATCTCTCGAGAATACCTATGTTTCATATAGAGAAATTGTTTTAGTAATATCGATAAAAGACGACTGTTTTCTTTTTCCATTATTTGCTGTTTTCTATTCCGAATCCAAGTCGTGGCAAAAGAGAAAAAATATTGATACGAGTGTACTTTAAACCGATTATACAGTTACAAAGCTTCGTTTCTCTCTTATTTCTGTTTTATGGACAGAACTATTTCATATACGACGCTTTGTCTTAACTTATGCTTAGCACAGCATCTTTCAAATTTATTCAGTTTTTATTCACTTAAGTTTATTTATTTTTTCAGCTTCTCTATTCAAAGAATGTCAATACACGCTATACTCATAAGCCTTTTGCTCCTCCTTTCTTTCTTTACCATTCGGAATTGAACGAAACCTAATTCATACGACATACGATTAACAACAACTTCCACCTAACGATATAACAGATTTTTATCCCACCAACAACCTCCTTTACAGAGTAGTCGCTTTAACAGCCTGTACAACCCTTTTCAGATCCATTATTTATGCGAAAAAATCAATACCACTTCGATACTTCTCACCCAATACAATACGAGCATCCCGCGTTGGCTTCAATCAGCCGCCATTTCCACGAACGTATACCCACTTCAATCTTTACGAACACACGAACGAATAAAATTCAAGCGCAGCGCTCGAGCAAACAAAAATTTCTTCCCCGAACAATTCTCCCTTCTACCTACCGCTTCCTGCTGCCGTCGTGCCGTTTCAATAAAAGTCCAATAACATCCGCCGTCCGAGCGAATTGCGAAAGAAGATCGCGAAAAAGAAAAAAAAAAAAAGCGAGCGTACTCCGCATAAACTGGCAGCTTAAACGCATCCGACTATTTCGTACACTTGTTACAGCCGGATATTACACGATAGAGCAGCGCTCGGAAAAGTATCGAATCATTTTCCTCAATACGAATTTGTGGTTGAACACGGCTGACAATCGTATGCTACATCGCTCCGGAAGTAGTACGATCGACAACACGCAGGATCCTTTCGATCAATGGTCCTGGTTCCAGATGACTCTCGAGACCGCGCGGAGGAAGAAGGAAACGGTAAGACACATTTCTTCTATAATTAAATGGAAACCGGCAGTAAGCGAAGGTCTTGCGCGCATTTAGCAGCACGTTTCGAAGAAAGCGGTTTTTAAGTTACGCTGTTCACAGGTAGAGCGCGGATATCTGTGCGAATTCTCATATTTTTATGAATATAATTAAAAACAATGAAATTTAGATAGGAAATTGTTTTATCTATCGCGTATCGTAAAAATTTCTATATTTTGTCTGTTTTTACATCTCCAAATTTCCCATAAACGCAAGCGAATCTGCACTCTAAGCATAAGTTTCAGATATCTAACATCACGTCGCTTTTCGACGAGATATTTGCAACCATACTTTGCCGCTACTTCGACGTTGATCGCAATGTACTATCGACTCTTATTCGAGGTTTTCATACGATTCACCGATGATATTATTAAACTGAACTCATAACATGTCGTTATCGCGATATCGTTTCCTGTATCCTGCTGTTCTTATTATTTTTGCGTCGAAACAATATTCCACTGAGTTTTAAGATACGTAACGTTATTAAAGTCAGCAGCTTCGCAAACTTTTGTTTATCCCCGCTATGGCAAGGTTATATAGCCGGACGAGAGATTGCGTATCAAATCCCATCCTTCGTCGACATTTCCTCCAGGCTGTTCCTCTCGCTTTTCAACAAGTTGTATAAATTTTGTCGACAAACACAGATTCGATCGACTAATTCTTTTAGAAAATTAAATCCCTATTTTTCTCTGTCGTATCTTTATTCTTTCGAAAAAGGAAAAACATATTGGATACTTGAGAGACTTTCATGAAGTCTCACTACCGTGAGTTCTTTGAAGCACGAATATGTGAAGATTATCATCTTTATTGCGGTTGCGAAGAGATGATATTTCTTTATGACTTTCTTGACATACTCTCTATATATATTTGTACTTCTTTGAAACGTATCTGCCACTTTACGTACTTACATTTCACGAACTTCTTTATCATTTCTTCAGCATTTATATTTAAATTGTAAAAAATTTGTTCCAAGAAATATCACCGTATAAAAGGGTCTGCAGAAAGTGACGATACCTTGTGAGACAATTTTTTTATCATACAATGGGACACGGTGATTACGAATCATAGTGATTATATTCGTAACATTTGAAACAGTCGACTATTCTTTGTATTAACAAGCCATAGTATCTAACGAGACCATCGGTTACGCTAATTATACGTTTTCGATTATTATTCATGTTGTATATTAATTTTTCGCGAAATGTATATTCGCAACAAGTCTCTTGTAACTTTGATATACGTTTCCAGATCCGTTTTATATTTTACTGCTATAATCACCGTGATTCATAATCACCATGTCCCGTTATAACGATAACGAAATTTCAAAAAGTTTCGTATAATGCGCATATTTCGAATAATTTGTACATAGTACGTCGAACAACCGCGTTACCCTTTCCACGCAGAACATTTATACGAATGTTCATGCTCTCTATCAATTCGACGTAATGCATTCACGGCACCGTTACGAGCGAGATCCCTGATCAAACAAAGAAGGAGCATGAACAAGAAAGTGAGAATAACATCGTTCGGAGAATTGCTCGGCCAGCTCCTTTGTTTGTTCGGTTTTCCCGTTTTAACGACCCGCTTTTCTCCTGCAGGGCCTGCTATTTGATCGTTCTGAGAGTAAACGTCGGAGCAATAGCAATTGTAATTCATTATACGATTCATCATTAAGCAGTCAATATTTTTCAAATGCAGTTTTCCACAGCTCTCATCGAAATGACTGCTTCGAAGAAAATGCAATTAAAAGTTTACCGTTGTCATCTAGACGTAATAGCTTCTCTCAAAGAACGATATGAAATGGTACGAAGGAAGAAGGCAAGGAAATTTCATAATCAACATTGATCCAGAAGGAAGTTGCCCTTAAGAAGATTTGCTCGAGTGCGAAGAAATTTCTTTTCGAAGAATGGCACTCGAAGGGAAATGTGCTTTTATGGCAGGAATATAATAGTCTTTGTTCAGAAACAAGCTGCTTGCGACGAACGTTGCAGTATTACAGCGAGAGATTCAGTTCGACGTGTAGTACCAAGTACAAGTGAGTCCAACTTCGTAGGATGTAAAGAAGGTCTGTATAATTATTATCTATGAGAATCCTTCGACGAATCGTTGAAGAAACTTCCTTAACGATTCAATTAATTAACTAATCCGAAGGAGTATTTGGCAAAAGAGTCGACACATTTAACATACCGGGGAAATGACACGTTTAATGCCGGGGGAAATTTGTCGTGAATTCAGATTTCGTATCGTCGCGATTACATTTTCGTAAAAATCAATTTCGCTACGGCGCTAATGAGATTTCAAAATGTTTCGCGTAATACAATGTAGCAAGTTTCTTCGAATACTTGCGTGAGCCATTGCGTATATTTATCTTGTATAATAGAACGATACTTGTTTCGTGGCACGACAAGTTCGATAATTAAAGGATCAAGCGAGACATATGTACGATGGATTGTGCACGCTCGTAAAACAAGCCCTGCATAGTTTAAATCGACGAGCAGACGAGAGAAAGGCAGACGGATGAACAGATAGCGAGGGAGAAAAAGAGAGAGAAATGGAAGAAGAGAATCAGGGAAGGTTCGTCCAAGTGGCGGTAAAGGAAGTTTATTGACGAAACGTCAATTCCCGAGGATGAAAATCGTGCGGCGCCGCGCAGTATCAATGCTGATGCCGCTTCGTTTCCTCCATTTTGGTTCCCGTCGCGATAAATTATTTACACGGGACGCAGTTATCGGGATGACAGGCTATCAGTCAATAACAGAACTTCCGACCCAAAGCTTTATAGCCTGAAAGCGACCGTTGAATCCGCCTTCTCCGTGTGGGGATATGAAGTTTCGCAGGAAATATTAATATTCGATATTGTTCGACAGCTCGATGATCATTCCATCGCGGGATACCGTCTGCATGCACGGTATGAAATTTTCGAAGACAACGGTATAAACCGCGCTTACAGATGAATTTTATAGAATGGTTATCTTTTTAGGGAATTACGATGATAATAATTCACAGCCATAGAGGGAGAAAGAGAGAGGGAGAGAACGAAAAGTACAAACATATAACTTGGTAAATAGCAGGTGATATAATATGTGAAATTTAACGATACGAGATACATTAATATTACATGTAATTGGTATCAAGCGATAGCATTTCCCGTGTACAATGTTTCAGCCGTTTTAAACCGATTTAGCGCTATCCTATCGATACGAGTAGACGTGACAATTCTTTTCGAATAAAACCTTTTTTACATAGTTGCAAAAATGTACTTCTTACATGGTAATTGAAAGAGTTAAGTGGCAGATGTATAATAGTAGAACGGTGGTAGTAACGAAGTAATTAAATTTAAAAAGTAACGAAACGGTTGATATCGATCTATCGACCTTTTACGTTCGTATCGGAAAATACGTTTGAATGTTTTTTTCTATTGATATTGTATATATTAGTTTGTTTATTTCACGCAAAAATCCAAGATATAGTTGTCACAAACTTTTACGATTAATGCCTTTAGTTACGGTGCTAGTTACGTATTTTTAGACAGCTATCTAACAGTATTGTTCATTTTGAAATACGTACGTTGTCGAGTATAATTAAACGGTAGTATGTTTATTTTTATTTCGTTATTACGCGTTAGGTCTCGTGTACGTACGTGGATAAGTTTATGTTTTGAAAATATTGTTCTAGGATTACGAATTGTATTTCTTTCGTAATGCGATCAACGCGTTGACTCTTCTATATACATACGTATAAATAATACCAATCAATAAGTTCAATCACGATAAACAAGCGGATAAGGATAAGCACGATGAATAAAGTTGTTTGTATTTACAGACCAAACAGACTCTTTCTTTACTAAAAGAACAGAGATGCGGAAATTAAGGTATAAAAGTTACGAACTTTTTTCTATCGATATAACGATCGTCTATTTTGAAGTTTATTAAATATTGTTAAATTCTTTTACATGTAGTTTTATTCCGTCGATATCGAATATTGCAAATTTAAGATTCGCGTCCAATATTTCAGAGAAACAATTTTTAAAGCTTTTCAGTAACCAGCTTTTACGTAATATTTTCCAATTCATGTTTCGCAATATCCTTTGTTCCCAATTGCTTCTTTTGATGCGTTAAGTTAATATTCTTTCATATTTTAAAATACTTCTTGCACAAGACCGAGGCGAGTATTACAGTCATAATAAAAAGAAAAAGAACTGTTCCAAATTTATCTAATACGCTCGAGATTTTACATCTTGCGCTTGCAATTTATTAGTAATTTTGTAAAATACTATTACTTCCACGAAGTTATTGTACTCGTCGAACTTTATCTTCCAATGATGTTGTGCTTCTTTAAACATGCTATATACTACAGGCGGAAGGTAGATCGATATTTAATATCTACGCTTATAAGTTACGGGAAAATGGTATAAAAAAGTGGCACAGACCAACAGGCCGCAACTGCTTAAGTTGGCGTCGAACTTTGTAAACGAATCAGGTTTAAGACCCTCGTAATCGTACTAGCGGCGCAGAAATATCACGAATCGATTTATCTTTAGCAAAAAGTCGGTTATAGCCGCAATTCGCGGTGTTTCGCGTCTTTAGAAACGACTTTCACACACACACCAAAACTGGAAGACTTACAGTGCACATTACAAATTGTTTCCTCTAAAAGTATCAGATATGAAGATATAAATTTCCTTTCTTATTGACTGTCGTACGATAGGTAAAAATATTGTCCATATACCAAGCAGCAAAATCTCCCTCGTATTGTAGGAAGCCTGGGTTAAATATAGGCCGTTTAGTACGTGAACCTCGAATGAGACACTAGTTACTATATTTGATAATAAAGATATAATTTAGCTCCAAGATGGCTCTTACTTTCAATTCTTTATTTTCAACTATGGATCTCACTAATATAGAACTCTAATTCTGACCAACCATCATAAATCGTCGATTCTTCATTGATTT